TTCTCTTTAGGCAGAAAATGAGGATCCACGATGTTCGACCTGGTAGAAGTGTGTTATCAAACCTCACATCATTGGTTTTTTGACTGACTGTAGCGTCAAAAAAAACTCATTCATTTACTTGAACTGAATGTTCATCTTAACTGTTATGGATAGTCACGGAGCCATGATCCAGAGAACAGGGTGTCATTAGATAGAAATAAACTAAGTAATAATAGGATTACCAGAAAAACGGGGTTTCACACACAAGCCAATAAACTTCGCTCATTAACACCAGAGTAAGTCAGTACAAGATTGAAAACTGCCCCATAATTATGTATGACATGCTTGTCGGGTATTGCTACATATATATGTGAAAACAAAGTTATTAAAATGAAGAGCAAAACTGATGAAAGTTAACAATAAACGTGTATACGTGTTATATCGTCACTGCGAAAATAATGATTGTTTGTCTTTAGTATTAACATTCAAATACGTTATATCTGTATTAGCGATATTGTCTTTGTTCCACCGGTGAGTCAGCGTTAGCCGTACTATCTCGTAGTATAATTGAATTTCTGAAGACATCACGATACAGTTTTTACGATGCATCACGTCTGCACTAGAGCTTGATAACAGCCTTGTGTTTGGGTGTTTCAGTGGTTTAAATCGCTGCTCTTGATATTGTTGATTAAACTTTGATACTATGAACAATATGTGCGAGGTTGACTTTAGAACGGTAACATACTAATAGTATATAGGATGACATAAACAGAACAATGAGAAGTTCGTCCAGATTAGTGTATAGGCAACATTTAATAATTAAAATAATTACATTCAACAACTCCCATTTTAAGTCCATTTTCCTGACTTATAAGTAAATGCAAGAACAATCGGCCGGAATACAATGTATAGTTCTTGTCCACTTCCATATGACTATATAGCATACAATAAGCTATCGGGTCCCGTTTAGATCGGTTTGGGTGGCAGCCTAGATAGCCATAGAATAGTTTCATCTTGGAATCTCCCATATCACTGGGGATCCTCTTCAATTTAAATGGAGTTACTCGTTACGATTCCGAACCTTCACGTGACTGTGTTTATGAAACATTGTCAAATAGCGGTGACATTAAATCTAGGAAACAATACGCGAAATCGCGCATGCACAGAACGGAAAATTTGGTCAAGGCATTAAGTAATCCGCATGCGCAGAACGATTGATTTCAGTACTTCCGCTAAGCGCTTCGAGTGCAGCGTCAAACGCGGGCCTGTAATCTAACACGCGGGGACTGACCAATGAAATCTGAGAAGTAGAAACACCGGTAGACGCTGTTGCTTGATTGACAATGTCAATCAAGAAAGGGAGGAGCTTAACGCTATCGTTCTCTCCCAGTAAATTCCGATGTCAAATAACGACGTTATTTGGACGGAAAAACGATGGTTTGAAAACGTCCAAATAACGTCGTTTTTCCGTCCAATGACCATATACGGAAAAAAACGACGTTTTCGTGTTTGCAGTGCTATACCCATCCCGGACGGCAAGGTAACAAACTTGGGCACAAGGGATGCAATGGTAAGGGAAACTTTCCTGTCAACTCGTGAAGCTGTTGATTTGTCTATCCATATTGTGTCGCCAGTGATGAACAAGTGAAAACTTCCACTTGCAAAGAAGCGTAGGATTACCAGAACCTGGTAAAATGGTAAAAGAGGCTAATGACAGGTTTAACCAATCTTCAAATATTTCCACAATACTTATATCTACGTCGTTATTTATTGTGCTGCGTTTACATTATGTCTCAGTAAGTATAGTGTTAAAGATGGATATAAGATGTGCATGCTTTAATTATTTAAAGGTTCTTTTGGCCGGGATCGAACACGCCCAAACCGTCCTCTTCAGTGTGCACGGCACATTTAGTTAAAATCGTTTAGAGTAACCACACACCCCACCCCACACAAGAACTGTCAGCAGGATATTGCTAGAATAGTTCTAAAAGCGGCCTTTAACTCACTCACTCACTCACTCACTCACTCACTCACTCAACCACTCACTCACTCACTCACTCACTCACTCACCCACCCACCCAACCACCCACTCACTCACTCACTCACTCACTCACTCACTCACTCACTCACTCACTGAAACACGCTGGGTGTCCTGAAATAAAATGTTTGATATGATTAAATATGTTCGAGTCTTCCTTTCAGAAAATACAATGTCATTTCAGCTCGTTTCAGATCCCTGTACTTCCGTTACACCTGTCGGTCGTAGCAAGTCGCTTTAGGCGGTTGAAATGGTTGCCTGGTGAAGAAGACACTGTTGGTATTGACGCTGGAATACAATAACACTTCAGGTAGAGGTAGAATCAATACTTCAGCCGAGCGTCAATATGTTAATTGATTATAAATGTTAAAAAAAATACAACTCAATAAGACCAGGTTTCTTTCAATCTGCTACTTGTATATTTTTTTCCAACAATTTCCGACAAAGCTGCGTTAAACATACACCTGGACAAATTTACATTTCAACTATCTAGTTTCCTACCTGATATCTACTTATTTTACAGACAGTGTGTGGTGAACGTTTCCACAACCACGTCATAAATCAAACACAAGGGGTCCACCCATACGGGAGTGGTGTACATTAACACTTGAGGCAAACAGGGCTCAAGATCAAATACACTAAACCACGGTTGTTTCTGAACATTGTTCAGTTATCATGCACACTCGTACAATTTGATCTGACATCTCATGCCGATATTATTCCGTGGTCTAGTTTTCTGAAAAGTCTGTGGGACTTGTAGCTAATTGAAATATGTCCATATGGGTAATTGAATAGAAAGTACATGCATTTCTATCTTTTAAACAATCGCTTATAATATGTCACATTTAGTCAAGTAGTTCTTAAAGTTCTCGATCTTCTGTTAGTTGTGCAGCTTTATAACATTTAAACCATGAAATGCAGGACATTTGTTAGAAAGTTTACCGCAATAGTAGAAGAAGTCTATGTGATTGACGGTTATCTGAATAGAAATTACATGCATTTCTATCTTTTAAACAATCGTTCATAATGTCACATTTAGTCAAGCAGTTCTTAAATTTGAACTCCTCTGGTTTCGCCGAAGAACATTACAACAATGTTATTTTATCGGTATTTGCCGGCTCTCGGTCACAAACGTTTCCCACTCATACTCAATTACGCAAAGCAAAATAGTTCTTTGAATATATACAACATAGTCTAGAAATATGTCAACATAATTTCAATCTCTGAACAAATTTACAAACAATAATTGGGATAAATCAAATCTTTAAAATAGGTTACAGGAAGTTGAACAAAAATATAAACATGACGTCACCGTCAATTTTCAAGCGCGGATTTATACATGACGTCACATAAGTTTGTAAAGAGGTGTATTACGAGTCGAACGGGAGCATGAGGATGAAATTTATGCTTACTGCTGTTGAAAATGACGTTCATGGAGCAGTTATGGAAAACACCCCGACGCGTGAACCCTCTCATGGCACTGGGTAACTGGGAATATCACCGATTTATGAATGTGTTGCTTTTGTTTGGATAATCACAAACCTATTCGGACGATGCGGAATGGACTGGTGGGGGTTGAACCGAGTGCTCTGAAACTTGTGTGTTTTTGTGTTTATTTTCAACGTCAGGGTGTGTTATATTTGGAGTTTGGGATTTGTCGTGTGTGCTGTAATACTTTGCTTAGCTGGTGTTTCTTGTCACCTGAGATGGACCTACTGTATGACATGATGCCAGCTTCATTTCTGCGCCCCGTCATTCCTCCTGTGACGCCGCTTCTCGGCCTAGAATGCACAGAGTAGGTCGGCCAACTGAGAAACCGGAATAGTAGATTTCTAATTCCGTCTACGGATATTTTCTCGACACCGATGACCAATCGATAAAACAGGTGGGCAAGTTTTTTTGTTTTTTTTAAATTTAAGTTTCTTTCCTTACCTTTTTATGGTTTCTCAAAATCTTAGATTTTTTCCCCGATACGATAGTAAATTGGATTTTAGTTTGGGATTGATCAGGAGCAGTCGCGTACGTTTGCTCTGACACCGGCCACATCTGAGCAGGGTACGACATTTTTTCATTGGTGCAAGATTCCTGTTATTTCCGAAAACAAGGCATTAAAGTCAATATCGCTCAGTAAATCAATTTCGTTCACCTCAGTAATTTTACAGAATTAATTTTCTTCACTTGCGTTATTAGTATTGAAAAATAGCCATTCCATATCCAAATCATCGCAAGAACAATCCATTTTGCTTCATGTAGCAGCCAGACGACATCAATCACCAGAACCAAAGCATTTATTTATTTATAAGTCAGATGAAATGTTAGGCCTACAAGACCAGGAAACATACTAAATTAATTATCTTGCTGATAAATGCAGGTATTAAAAAGAAAATAGAAAAACGAGTTGATCGTAAACACCGATCGAGAATTCGGGGAAATCGCAGAAAGTAGTTCCGGCAAAAGTTCACACGATCAATTTCACAACAAAAAAATCACATTGTGTGAACCTTTTTTGTCCGTTCATAGGTGTGTGAAATCCAAATATCAGATCACGTGACTACCCATTCAGCCAATCAGCATGAAAGAAACAGTGTAAACTTCAAAGTATGAAATCATATTGCTTTAAACATGCCAGTGTTGACTAAATATTTTGGGTAATTATTCAAATATGAATTTAAACTGGTGAACAAAGGGTTTGACGTTGTGTTGAAGCAATGCATCAAATGTTTTCGTGCATGTTATGTATAGATTAACGATTTCCCTGAGGGTGGTACATGTATATCAGATTCAAAACCAAGGGTAAGCCCCATGTGTCAGAAGGGAAGTTCGCGACCAAACATGGGCTTGACACGGAACGCCACACCTAGGTTTGAAACCTCTGTACATTGAGGCTGTTTTGATCAATAATTCAGTCAGAGGTAATCCTTTGAACTCGCGTCGTGCCAAATGTTGGGTTGCAGACGGAAACGCATGTGGACGCCCCGTTAGTTGTGGCCATTTTGTTAGCGGTCATGCGCATTACTCTTCACTACTATAAAGACGTTGATGACGTCATGCCTCATAACCAAGCACAAAGTTTCACGAGCAAAGGAGGTCAAGGTCACGGAAGTGTATCAAACCAAGGTCATGTAAGTGTTTCAAATCGAGATAGCGCCTACGACCCAAGCAGTCTCGTACAAGACAAACACATTCTCCGGGAGACGTCACTGATCGGTGCAACTGTTATTTCAAGATCAAATACGTCATGGTCACGTGACGATGGCGCGTGCAATGGGGATACTAGTTTCGTGAAGACAGTTTTACACTCGCCGGCTGGAGATACAACAATCTACGTTCACCCCATGTCGGAGGATATATGGGTGTCGGGAACAATTATAAAGGGGCAAGTGTGGGAAGGCGACTTGGTGCCCAAGTTCTACAACTACTTCAAACAAGATGACGAACTTGTATTGGTCGACATCGGCGGAAACATCGGCGTGTACGGCCTAACGATAGCTAGAAGTATGAAATCATATTGCTTTAAACATGCCAGTGTTGACTAAATATTTTGGGTAATTATTCAAATATGAATTTAAACTGGTGAACAAAGGGTTTGACGTTGTGTTGAAGCAATGCATCAAATGTTTTCGTGCATGTTATGTATAGATTAACGATTTCCCTGAGGGTGGTACATGTATATCAGATTCAAAACCAAGGGTAAGCCCCATGTGTCAGAAGGGAAGTTCGCGACCAAACATGGGCTTGACACGGAACGCGACACCTAGGTTTGAAACCTCTGTACACCGCTCAAGTGCAGCGTTTTGGCAATGCAAGCTTGTAATAATGTGGCCGATGTAGTTTTTGTATATATTTGTTTTAATTTCATTTTAGGTTTTTACGTATATTTATCATATATAACTAGTTGTCCGTTTCAGTCAGCTATAACAAAGTGTATCTGACCTGTCTTACCTACTAACTGCCCCATGGCCAGAAGCTTCATTTGCTGATTGGCCAAGCTAACACCTATTGTTAAACTGCATGCTTTGATTACACTGCATACTCTCTCAGCACATAAACTGACAGAACTGCTCAGACCAGCAAAGTGTAAAGAGAGAATATTAAATCAGGTGAGTTAAATAGTTATAATCTATATCTTGTGTTGTATTTAAATAATACAGTATGTTCAAAGTGTTATATGAAGTAAACTAAATGTATGTAATCTAACATAAATGTTGATTTATGTCTAAATATTTAAATCTGCATAGGATAAGCTAAACATCCATACTTTATCACTAAAATGTATTCTATCACTTCAATGAAATATGTGTGAAAGTGTTTTACCTCAAGAGTGTTTTAATAAGCTTTGTAATGTAGAGATTCAGATGTGATACAATGCAAATCATTGTAAAGAAAATGTGTGTATTACTTTGTTCAATATATTAAATGTTAAATAGTGTTTTAGTCTATGTATTGTTTATTCAGATAATCTATGGTGTTGCTATATAGGCAGTTGGGATCCACACCCTTGTATCACCCACAGGGTATGCATTGTGTTATTTATATTTGTCTAAGACTTACAATGTAATCTAATTGTGATGACCACATTTAATGTAATATCATATCATTAATTTCTGTCTTAAAGTATTGTATATGTTTATGCAGAATGTGTAAGCGTTATGCATTTATATTATGTATATATATTGTGTATATATTATAGTCAAATGAAAGTCAAGGAGTTATCTCCCTTGAATGTCGGTATTGTTGATCATGTACATACTGTATATGTTCTAGTATAATCGTTTAAGGTTCAGTCTATCTTGTGTTTAATGGATGACTAATATATGTAACTAATTACTTGTAATAAGCCTATGCTGTGTATCTAGCATTAATGATAATGTTTTACTTAGTATTTATTGTGTTATTATGTGTTTCAGGGTGTATGATATATAGATCCTTATCACACTCGACGCATCGCAATAAAGACCTCAACCCCGTAGCATGTGTTTGTTCGCTATAAAAAGACCTTCACTAAACTGCTACAATAATACCGATGTGTTCACAAAATAACAATGGCCCGCGTGTAGAAATGTCGATATTGCCCGGATGTGCTCACGTGACAGGTCTATCTGGCCGAGTCAGCCGAGTAGCTCAGTGTTACCTTTGTGTGTTCTTTGAATAGAGGGTGGAGTATTACACGTTTTGTCAAAGGACAGCCGATTGAAATTTCTTTTCTACACTGTTGGTTGGGCGGCCACTGAAAGGACAGGTCTATCTGATCCGTCTTGGTAACTCAACACCAACAGCCGAGCGACTCTGTGTTACCATTGCGTGTTGTTTAGATTCAGAGAGAAGCAATACATGTTTTGTCGTCGACATCCTACTGAAATCTACTTTCTACACTGTGGGTTTGGCGGCCATTGAAAGGACACTGAACAGCACTGAGGACAAAGTTTTTCGTTTGATTCGAGACTGGTGACGAGCATTGATCGTCACTGTTAAAGAATTCAGGAGTATTGTTCTTCAAATTGATTACATGGTTGTCGTGGTGACGGCCGCCTGTTTATTTTACATAGGAATGTTGACACTTGGTGTATGTGAACACAGCAACATCAATATGCACGTCGTCGCCATTTGAAGAGTGTCTAATCTTGGATCAGCCATATCTGTTGAGTGTTGTTAGATAACTTACTAATATTCTAATATGGCAACATTGAGGCTGTTTTGATCAATAATTCAGTCAGAGGTAATCCTTTGAACTCGCGTCGTGCCAAATGTTGGGTTGCAGACGGAAACGCCTGTGGACGTCTCTGTTAGTTGTGGCCATTTTGTTAGCGGTCATGCGCATTACTCTTCACTACTATAAAGACGTTGATGACGTCATGCCTCATAACCAAGCACAAAGTTTCACGAGCAAAGGAGGTCAAGGTCACGAAAGTGTATCAAACCAAGGTCATGTAAGTGTTTCAAATCGAGATAGCGCCTACGACCCAAGCAGTCTCGTACAAGACAAACACATTCTCCGGGAGACGTCACTGATCGGTGCAACTGTTATTTCAAGATCAAATACGTCATGGTCACGTGACGATGGCGCGTGCAATGGGGATACTAGTTTCGTGAAGACAGTTTTACACTCGCCGGCTGGAGATACACCAATCTACGTTCACCCCATGTCGGAGGATATATGGGTGTCGGCAACAATTATAAAGGGGCAAGTGTGGGAAGGCGACTTGGTGACCAAGTTCTACAACTACTTCAAACAAGATGACGAACTTGTATTGGTCGACATCGGCGGAAACATCGGCGTGTACGGCCTTACGATAGCTAGAATGGGGAGACAGGCTGTACTAGTCGAACCGCTTCTGAAGAACGTGAAGAAGCTGTGTAACTCTATCCATGACGGCAATTACTCACACGTCTACATCGTACATAACGCCGTCTCCAACACAAGGGTCAAGGTCGAATTTGGGAGCTACGCCAACAACGTCGGTGGCACGTACGTAAAGCCTGTTACGTCAGAGAGCCGGGAGACAGCACAGTCTTTGTTGCTTGGTGATCTACTGGAGGTGTTTCAGCTCCGCAAGGTTGCCATGAAGATGGACATTGAAGGCCACGAGGATGAAGCTCTTCTGGGTGCGGAGACGTTCTTCGCCAAGGTGGATGTCAGGTATCTATTGATGGAATGGAACACACACATCAACAAACCGGAGGCTAGGCATATCATTGACTTCCTCACCAAACACAACATGGTACCCGTACACCCGGTGAACGAACATATGCTGGCCTTGAACGGATCCGGGCAATGGCCATGGGATGTGCTGTGGAAGAAAGATGTATGAGGTTAATATATCAACAAATGTGAATGGTCCATTCTACATATTTTCTGGACGTGGAATTCCGGGTCAGAATTGTTCCTCAGCAACCTAGGCTTCTTAATGGATCGGATGGTAAGGATCGATGACATGGTTGATAGCGTGCTCATAGTATCAATCACTGGGTTGGCAAAATTATTTACAGGTCGCGGTCTTGGAATATTGCTGAGTGTGGCGTAAAACAAACACACAAATAAACATATCAGTAAAACCCGCGAGCACGGGTATGGTGCTGACAAACCTAGAAAGATAATCGAACCCACAATCATAGGTTTCTGGCATGCCCAAGGGAAACAACTCTGCACAGCGAATCGCGTCGCCTTAGACGACTGGGCCTCCCGTGCCCCCTTCAATAACGAAGGCTCTACACACAACATGAGATTTGTCTTCGATAACGAAGGCTCTATACACAACAAGGACCTCGGCCGCATACCGCGCTTGACACTGAGCTCAAAATGACCCGCCGATAAAACTCTTAATGTATGTTGCATGGCAGAGTCCGATAAATCTAATATATTAGTGTCTAACACATCGAGTCCTCCTATAGATAACATGGAAAATGTTATCACAATGTCAACAGTCTACATACGAACTTGGCCTCTGACTGTATAGCCTGTTGTAATGAACAAACCGTCTGGTGTTTGTTGTTTAACGCCACACTCAACAATGAAACAATGACACAAAATACACTTCGAAGGGGACACTGATGGCACAACCAGATTATCCCAAGTAAGTCTAAATATCTGTCCAGATAGTTTAACCTGACTTCATTTCACCACGCTTATCCTTTTACGTTAAATCAAATTGGAAGTTGCGATGGGGTCGGGTGCGTCTCGCTCATTGGGACCCTCGATCTATTGAACGTTAGATCTAGTCGTACATCGTAAATGGATATAGCTCGATTATATAATGGATGTAGAAGCTCAATGTTTAACTTATATAGGATGCAAACCGAATTTAATGCGTGTGACTATCTTGTTTGGTTTAATAAAGTGTTTGTTAATATATCTCGCTGTCATGAGATTGCTTCAGTTCTGCCTTGTAGTTGTAAAAATAATGACGTCTCGCGATTTTTTATGAATGAAAAAAGTAGTCCCAGTGTGACAGAGGTCACGGTTATCCAATCAAAACTAATAAAACGAGATCATCCTTGTACGACACACGTGGGTAATAAAGGATGGTATTACTTCACCCCGAATAGGTGCAAAGTTACTCATGCTGCATTAAGTAACAATTCACTCACTCAGCTAAGCTCATTAACAAAGAATTACACACAAACAAGTCATGTCCAATACATTTATCAAGGATATGTAGTCCATGACAAGATATTGAAGTATTTTCACCTATGTACATATTTGCAACACTCTAGTATACACTTGCAATAAAATTGTGTCAGGATACAAGACAAGATCATAGGAAAATATACACATACACAAGTATATAGTCAATGATAGGTATAGAATGGTTTCTAGATCAGGCAGAATGAGACTGGGTTTTATAGTGTCCATGAGCTGATGTATGGATCTTATCTTCCAATACCCAACGTTTATCATCATAAGGGCTTAAACTGATTTTGTTTATCCCAACAGTTTTCAGCTGATGGTTTTGACTATGAATTTGTTTCATGTTTTGTCTTACTTGTTTTTGACCACATAAACAGGCTCTGTTGCCTCAATTGTTTCTTTATCACTGTTTTGCTCACTCCCTTGGCTGTCTGTTTCTCTTTTCCATCATAAGAAAGGGAATAAAGTTTGGGTCTATGTTCCACAAAAGATTCCAAAACGCAATCTCCAAACTCATGTACCATCTTTCCGAGTATCTTTGCATTGGTTTTTGAAAACAGAGGATTAGAAGGGTCAACAATGCTAGGGGTGACGGGTGAAGTCTCCATCAACATTTTAGAATGAGCCCCTGGTGGGGTTATGAATAACTCATCCTCAAAATAATAGACTCGCCTTTACCGGTCCATTCAGCTCAGCATTAATTTTGTTTGAACTCTTTAACAAGACGTGCTGAGACTCGCTATAGGTTCTACTACACCAAATCAGAACCAGTTTGGACAGTCCGGTTTTCGTAGGGAGCCTTCAGTGCAGATCGAGAGATATCTGCAGGCTGTGATTGGAGGATATTCTGTAAGATTTTTATGTCTTTCAAATGTACATCCATCCAGTTATTAAAACTGACCATGTTTTTTCTATATTTAGTACTGTCTTTTTCAACATGATGACTTATGCTGAATGTGACCACAGCTTTTTTCAAGTAGGTGACATTTGGTGCGAAACTCGGGGTGGTGTGTTTAGCTTCCTGTACTCGGAAAAGGAGCTGGCTAAGCTAGTCATTTATTATGTTTTTATTGCTGCTCTAAGGCCAAACTGTGCACACACGTACAGGTAATAGCTGTTGAATGCTTAGTTATTTAAAAAATAAATAAAACGTTACTATAGAAGTCTATGGGAAAACATTTGGTTGTGTGTAACCTGTAGTGACCTGGTTTGACGCCCCATTTTTTACACTGATGACTGTTATTTGTTACAACTCTGCTATGTGACGTTGTTTGATAGACCATGTATGTGCACTAGCGAGCCCACTGTAGGCCCAGCGAAAAGACTGCGGGCCTAAACATTTTAACTGAAGCAGGGAGACATGCTCTTCTATTATGAATTACAGAGCAGTCAACCAGAAACTTTACAGCTATCACACCGAGTTCCCAGAGACTCTGTGGTGATGGATGAAGTCTACATTTATCAATGAAATTATCATTCTGTAAAACATCTTTGCTACTACCTGCCATACACCATTGGAAAGGTCAAATCCTACTGTTCATGAAACTATAAATAATTTTTGACGTGGCTACGGTGTGGCCCGTACACAGACCCGCGCTGTTGAAAAATTTAGTAGGCGGAGAACTTTAAACCTTGACCCTGTTTCACCAAGCAGGCTCAGTGTTATTATTCACATACCATGTCTACAGCTAAAAATGAACTGTAGGCCGTAAGGGACTTCTGAAATTTAAAACTATCAGCCCAAGATCAAATCTGTCGGCCACGGACCTACATGCCGATGTCTATTTCGAACACTGAGCAAAATTGTTCATATTGTTTTACACATGCCAGTGTAATTATTCAAATATGAATTTAAACTGGTGGACAAAGGGTTTGACGTCGTGTTGAAGCAGCGCATCAAACGTTTTCGTGCATGCTATGTATAGATTAACGATTTCCGTGAGGGTGGTACATGTATATCAGATTCAAAACCAAGGGTAAGCCCCATGTGTCAGAAGGCAAATTCGCGACCAAACATGGGCTTGACACGGAACGCCACACCTAGGTTTGAAACCTCAGTACACCTCTGGGCCGCTCAAGTACAGCGTTTTGGTAATACGAGCTTGTAATAATACCGATTTGTTCACAAAATAAGGGCAATGGCCCGCGTTGTAGAAATGTCGATATTGCCCGGATGTGCTCACGTGACAGGTCTATCAGGCCGAGTCAGCCGAGTGCCTCAGTGTTACCTTTGTGTGTTCTCTGAATAGAGGGTGGAGTATTACACGTTTTGTCAACGGACAGCCGATTGAAATCTCTTTTCTACACTGTTGGTTTGGCGGCCATTGAAAGGACAGGTCTATCTGATCCGTCCTGGTAACTCAACACCAACAGCCGAGCGAGTCTGTGTTACCTTTGGGTGTTGTTTCAATTCAGAGAGGAGTAATACATGTTTTGTCGTCGACATCCTACTGAAATCTACTTTCTACACTGTGGGTTTGGCGGCCATTGAAAGGACACTGAACAGCACTGAGGACAAAGTTTTTCGTTTGATTCGAGACTGGTGACGAGCATTGATCGTCGCTGTTAAAGAATTCTGGAGTATTGTTCTTCAAATTGATTACATGGTTGTCGTGGTGACGGCCGCCTGTTTATTTGACATAGGAATGTTGACACTTGGTGTATGTGAACACAGCAACATCAATATGCACGTCGTCGCCATTTGAAGAGTGTCTAATCTTGGATCAGCCATATCTGTTGAGTGTTGTTAGATAACTTACTAATATTATAATATGGCAACATTGAGGCTGTTTTGATCAATAATTCTGTCAGAGGTAATCCTTTGAACTCGCATCGTGCCAAATGTTGGGTTGCAGACGAAAACGCCTGTGGACGTCTCTGTTAGTTGTGGCCATTTTGTTAGCGGTCATGCGCTGTTCTCTTCACTCCTTTAAAGACGTTGATGACGTCATGCCTCATAACCAAGCACAAAGTTTCACGAGCAAAGGAGGTCAAGGTCACGAAAGTGTTTCAAACCAAGGTCATGTAAGTGTTTTAAATCGAGATGGCGCGTACGACTCAAGCAGACTCGTACAAGACAAATACTTTCTCCGAGAGACGTCATTGATCGGTGCAACTGTTATTTCAAGATCAAATACGTCATGGTCACGTGACGATGGCGCGTGCAATGGGGATACTAGTTTCGTGAAGACAGTTTTACACTCGCCGGCTGGAGATACGCCAATCTACGTTCACCCCATATCGGAGGATATATGGGTGTCGGCAACAATTATAAAGGGGCAAGTGTGGGAAGGCGACTTGGTGACCAAGTTCTACAACTACTTCAAACAAGATGACGAACTTGTATTGGTCGACATCGGCGGAAACATCGGCGTGTACGGCCTAACGATAGCTAGAATGGGGAGAAAGGCTGTACTAGTGGAACCGCTTCTGAAGAACGTGAAGAAGCTGTGTCACTCTATCCGTGACGGCAATTACTCACATGTCTACATCGTACATAACGCCGTCTCCAACACAAGGGTCAAGGTCGAATTTGGGAGCTACGCCAACAACGTCGGTGGCACGTACGTAAAGCCTGTTACGTCAGAGAGCCGGGAGACAGCACAGTCTTTGTTGCTTGGTGATCTACTGGAGGTGTTTCAGCTCCGCAAGGTTGCCATGAAGATGGACATTGAAGGCCACGAGGATGAAGCTCTTCTGGGTGCGGAGACATTCTTCGCCAAGGTGGATGTCAGGTATCTATTGTTGGAATGGAACACACACATCAACAAACCAGAGGCTAGGCATATCATTGACTTCCTCACCAAACACAACATGGTACCCGTACACCCGGTGAACGAACATATGCTGGCCTTGAACGGATCCGGGCAATGGCCAGGCGATGTGCTGTGGAAGAAAGATGTATGAG